AGTGGTGAAACAGCTGGTAACAGATGTGGAGGCCCTGAGGCAAAAATAAGGGACAGGAGAGGAAGTCTGGGCCCCAGAGGCTGGGGAAGCCTGATCAGGGAAATATCTACTTAGCTGGAAAAAGAAGCTGAATAGTGAGGATAGTAGTAGACAGTATAAGCCCACTCTCATTCATTCATCCATGCATCCATCCATCCATGCATCCATCCATCCATGCATCCATCCATCCATGCATCCATCCATCCATGCATCCATCCATGCATCCATCCATGCATCCATCCATGCATCCATCTAATCATTCATTCATTCCACTCACTAATGATCACCCAACAAATAGCTATTAGACACATTGTTATGCTCGGGATGCTGGGCTCTAACAACAAATCCCCCTGACTGAAACCTGTTCCCCTGAAGCTCCCCTCATAGTGGAGATGATGGACGGTAAGCCAAAAATAGCTCAAGCTGGGCAAGACATGTGTGGCAAGGCTCTCACGAGAAACGGGGAAGGGAGCATAAGGAGTAAGATGCCTGCAAGAGAGGAGGGGCCGCGGCGGGCTAAGTCATCTCCTGAGAGGCACTGGGAACGGAGGGTTCACCTGCAGAAGAGCTCTCCAAGTCGAAGGACTTGTAGACTGTTTCAGGGTCCCAGGATGAGAGTACACTCGGAGCTTGGGAGACGCTGAGTCCACAGGGCTGCCATTGGGAGAGGAGGGGTCTGGGAGGGTTGGCCGTGGTGGGAGTGGCGGTTGTCCCGAGTGCAAAGGAGAGCAGGGCTTAGGTAGTGCAGAGGTGGGGACCAGGTCAGCCAATAGGACTTTGGAGGGCCGTGTGCATTACACCTGGGCCTCACCCCACACAAGACCGGCCTGTGATAACTCAAGACTCTTCCCCTCTGTGCCTACTGAAAACGGGGGGCGGGGCTGTGGGGAGAAGGGGGTGGGCCACGGAGGCACAATGGCCGTGGATGTGCCTGGAGCACGGTATGAAAGCAAGCAATGCTGACGTTTGAAGGCGCAGCCTTACCCGGAGGCTCGCTTGGAGGGCTGAAGAGCTGGGCAAACGTCACACTGTGGAACAGACACGCTCTGCGGTAGTTTGAATGTAATTGGCCCCATGGTCTTACAGGGAGTAGTGCTATCAGGAGGTGCGGCCTTGCTGGGGGAAGTGTGGCCCTGCGGCGGCCGACTTTAAGGTTTCCTATGCTCAGGACACTGCCCAGTGTCTGAGTCGACGTCCTGTCGGCCGGTAAGACGTAGAGGTCTCAGCTCCAGCACCACATCTGCCTGCATGCCGCCCTGCTCTCCACCTTGGTGATAATGGATGGAACCTCTGAAACTGTAAGCCAGCCACCCCAATTAGATGTTTCCTTTATAAGAGTTGCCGTGGTGATGGTGTCTCTTCACAGCAGTAGAAACCCTCAGTGAGATACGCTCCCATGCCTCCTCCACTCTCCACCCCTTTTCCCGCCTTCGTGGCTAGGCAGTACTTTTGAGGACAGCCCTCTTCTGAGCCGCTTCCAGGCTGTGGGCCTGACACCATCTACCTCAGGTCCTGACCCACATGTGAGGAGCCTTGCCTGTTGGGCCACTAGACCCTGATCCCATGTTGCACCAGCTCGAGCTCTGCAGAACTGGTCCCCTGTGCCGCTTCATATCCAGACCCTTCCTGGTCCCTAGATCCCCTATGGGGCTCACTCAAGCCCCTTCTCCCTTGCCTTACCAGACGGCGACAGAGAACCGATCCACTCTCCCTACGCCTGGCCTTTGGCATGGGCTGTGCTGGAGGGGCCTTACTTTCATCTCCCTCCCTTGGGTAACCCCATTCCAACCTTATCTCTTATCGTCTTCCTCCGTTTTTCCTAATGTCTGGGTTAGACTGAGATTTCTCCTTCTGTGGACACTGGGGCACTTGCCTGAGCTGCTAGTTTAACATTTCTGAGCATCGGGCAAGTGGGGAAGAGTTGTGTTGGTTAGAAATGAAATGTCTGCTGTGGAAGGAGGAGGCGTGTGTGTGTGTGTGTGTGTGTGTGTGTGTGTGTGTGTGTGTGTGTGTGCGCGCGCGCACGTCTCCTAAAACTTTACTCTCCCCGAGGTCATTCTTGCCCTCTCCTAGGTCTGGTCTGCTTCTCCTCCATCAAATCTTGGTCTGCTTCTGCTCACCAGACCATGCAGTTTAGCCCATTGTCCTGGAAGCTCTGAGCAAGAAGGGATTCCTCCTCCCTCCCTCCCTCCTTCCTTCCCTCCTTCATTCCTCCTTTATTTCCTTCCTTCTTTCCTCCTTCCTTTCTTCCTTCCTTTGTGTATGTGAGTGTGTGTGTGTGTGAGAGAGAGAGAGTGAGAGAGAGAGAGAGAGGTAGGGAGGGAGGGAGGGAAAGGGAGGGAGGGAGAGAGGGAGACTTTGATTAGGAAACAGCTACTGGATTTGTACAGAAATTAACATCCTCACCAAAATCAAGGTGGTCTTCCTGCTCCACCACCTTTCAGCCGCATGGCAAGAGGGTGACATGAAAGCCTCCTTCCTGCAGCCCTGTTTGCTGAAGCGGTGAGCCACATGTCCCAGCTGCCTCTCCACACAGGAACAAATAGCTCTCTATGCATAGCTCTGAGCCCGGGACTTGAGAATCCCCTCAAGAATGTTAAGGGGGTTTAGAATTTCTTAGCAGAAAGAAAATGGGAGGTGTCAACATTTTACTCTGGCCTTTTGGGTCTAAACAATAAAAGGCCTGTTCCTCAATAGAATTCCCATTCATCCCCCCTCCCTGTCCCTCCTTCCCTTCCTGCTCTGAAAAGCCAGTTTTTCAGTTTCTCCCAGGCCCTGGAGAGCAACTGACTGCCCGTGGACGCCATTTGTTTCACATGTAAATAGCGATCAGTTTGGAAAACACCAAGAAGGGGAGGAAGAGAATGAGAATGTCAGTCTTCTATACTTCTAGTCTTTGGAGGCGGTTCTCCAGACTTCTGCTCTTCTCATATAAATTTGTGAGCATCGAGAACACATCACGTACACTGCTGCTTCATGACAACGCACCGCAGTTGACCACCAACCGTCTTCAGAATGGGTTTCTTTTTTCTTTTGCTTACTTATTACAAGGGAATAAACTTCTGTTAGAATTACAAAGCAAAAGGAAAGAGTAAAACAGGCAGCACGGGGAAATGCACAAAAAGTACTAGAAGTCACCCTTCGGAGACAGTCAGCACAAAATGTGAGTTCAGCTGTTCCTGGAGGCACATGCCTGTAACCCCAGTACTTAGGCGGTTAAGGCAGACGTGTGTATTTGAGGCTAGCCTGGGCTGCATAGTGAAGCACTGTCTCCAACAACGACAGCAAAGCACAGTAGTGTGCACACACGCACACACGCACTTATGTGTGTGTACAGTCGCTAAAACCCCAGTGGTCCCCAGTGCGACGCTGCTGCTGTCACTTTGTTAGACAGACATGATGGGCCTGCAGAGACCCCTCCTGAGGCATTCTGTTTCTGCCCACAGGTTAGGGCTGCTGCCCCATCTGATCAGAGGGGCTCCTTCATGTAGTCCGTGGTGGTTACAGCAGACTCCTGACTGGTCAACGTGCTGAGAGTAAGTAGCTGCTGAGTGCTCACCTAAGCATGTCTCTCTCTCTCTCTCTCTCTCTCTCTCTCTCTCTCTCTCTCTCTCTCTCTCACACACACACACACACACACACACACACATGCATGTGCGCTTGTGTGCATGTACATACACATATACATGTACATACGTGATGACCACCATATCTATGTGGTGCATACATGTGCATCTGTATACACACACATACACTCGCATGCACACGCACACACACACACACACACACACACACACACACACACACACACACATTGCCAACCCCTCAAGGCTCAGAGAACATCAGGGAGCCCGGGACAGGGTGTTTGAAATGTTGTCTTAGGGCATGCCATACCCTTTGCAGTCTTGAACTCTCAGCAGCTGTGTTTACCAGCACAAGATCCACACAAAATGAGGCCTGAAACATCCCCACACCGACAGGGGAGGGCTCTCAAGGCTAGCCCCTCCCTGAGGATCCACACGCAAACAGCGGTTGCTGCGGAAGGGAAGACATTTTCTTGGTTACTGGTGAGTTGCTCACCCTTCCATAAGTAACTCCAATTAAACTTACTGGCTCACCAAGGAAAATAAACTAATGTGGGGATTTAGAAAGAAGGCTCCTTGCGAAGAGGATTGAGAGAGGGACATCAGGAAGTAAGGGGGAGTATTAACATGAAAATGCCATGAATACCCATTATTATGTGTAGTTACATGTGCTAAAAAGAAGCTTCAAAACAATCCCGTAGTTTGTTTCAGCGCTCAGTTTTAGGAAACCTAAAACAGAGCCACATGGCACATCCAAAGAGGCCACTCTGATAACCTTTTGGTGTGACAGTATTAAAGCCAATGGATTTTCTTAGATGATTAGCGCGGGCTGTGTGTCAGATGCCGTCGATCCACGGGACCCATTTAATAACCTGTTCCCTTGCCCACCTCCTTTTTGGAACTCGTAAAATACAAAATACCATTCCCTTGCAGTAACAGTGGCCACGGGGTCCGTCCTGGCCTGGTGACACTTTAGAAGGTCCTTCCCAGTAAAGACAACAGCTTTAAAGGAGAAGGTCTTGATAAGTGATGGGTCACCGGGGAAGGAGAGGACCCCAGCGCCCCCCATGACCAACCACTGACAAGCCCAGTCTCGTGAAGCCCTGGTGCAGACAACGGTGCCTACAGCAAGTCCATGACTGTGGCACTGGCTAAACCAGGGGGGTCTGAAAAGGGACTTGCAGGGGGAGGGGGAGTTGGCTGGAGTGGGAGCTCGGGATAAGAAGAGAATGAATTACAAGTATCTACCAACTTGTCAGAGGTCAAATTTGACTAGTATGCAAAAAGGAAAAGGAAAAGGGCCTTTTTTTTTTAATCTCTCCTCCGGGTATGGTCGTGATGTCCCAAATGTTTCAGCCAGTTTGAAATCGGGACAAAGTCCAAAAGCCGACGATACAGGGTGGAGGAAGTAGAGAGCATCGACGGTTTCCATGGTAACTTCCCCAGTTATGAGCTGGACCTCTTCCAGGCAGTCCTGGTAATGACTAGAGAGCTCCCACAGTTGTCATCTGCACCCCAGGAGCAATCTGCTCCTTGGCAGTTGTACACTCTCCAGCCTGACCTTGACTGAATCCACGACTGCTCATGCCTGGTTTTTTCATGGCAAGCCATCAGCTGGGGTCTCGAACTGGGTGACTATCTCAGTGGGAGTTTCCAGCAAGACGCTGAGTTGGAGTCCTTTTTATGTAGGCTGTGCACCTTCCCTGACCTCTACTCCACGCAGTGGGAGCTGTGGTTGGATGTGGCTTGTTCCACTGAGGTGTGTGCTGGAGGCTGCTCCCCTGTGCTGTGGTGCTGGGGGCCCTGGGACCCTTAGGAAGAGAGGCTGAGTACAAGGTGAGGGGCCTCTGAGGCTGCTGCTCTCAGGAAGGATTAATGTTGGCCTCCTGCGGCTAGTTGCTGAGAGTGCTCTGGTGACCAGCTCTTTTCCAGATTCTCTGCCATGCTGCTGTGATGCAGCTAAGGGGATCCTCATTCCAGAGACTGAACAGATGGACCACCAGATCGCTGTGGAATAACCCTCTTCACATATTATTTATCCCCCAACGTATTTTTGTCATATTAACAGAAAATATGCTAATTCAGTTGTAATGTCACATACTGAACTTGAAGACTAAGCTCCATAGGTCTGTGTATCAGCCTACAGCACAGTGCCTTGTAATTAGGGGGTACTCAATAGATATCAATGTGTTGACTTTAATGCTCTGATTGCTTGGTTGCAGAATTTGTAAAGATTTTGGAGACTATAGATTGGGATAATCTTTGTAGGCTTTTAAAACTAGCTTATATTCATTATAGAACACAATGGGTTTTACAATGACATTTTCATGCAAGTCCATCTCATACTTCGATTACAGCCACCCTCTGTCACCTGCTCGTGGCCCCCTTTCCTTTCTGCTAGTTCCTTTCCTTTTCCTAAATGCTCTTCTGCTGTTTTCACACTGTACATATGTGTGTGTGTATGTGTGTGTGCATGTACATATGTGTGTGTGTACGTATGTACGTGTGTGCAAAGCCCTCATCCACCAAGGAAATGCAAATCAAAACTACATTGAGACACATTTGCTTCAACCAGTCAGCAACACACGCTCACCAGCATGGTCTCCAGTGGCAGTACAGACCATGACATCAACATAGCCCTTCACCACAGCATGGACTATTGATAACCTCATGTCCCTTGGTGGTAGCAGTCCATGGATGTCAACATAGCTTCAGGTGTCAGCAAAAACCAAGGACATCCACATGACCTTCCACCGTAATGCTGTCCATGGACATCAACATGGCCTCCTATAGGAGCACAGATCACATATATCTACGTGGTCTTTGTCCTCAGCAAGGACCATGGACCTCAATAGGGTCTCCAGTGGCAGTACAGAGCACAGAAACCAACATGGTCCTTGGCTGTAGCACTGACCATGGACACCATCAAGGCTCTCAGTGACAGCACAGACCATGGACACTGACATGGCCTCCAGCGGCAACATGGCCCATGGGCATCCACATGGCCCCCTGGCTGCAGCAGGACCACGGACATGACCCTTGGTGACAGTGCAGGTCTTGGTCATCGACAAGGACCTCAGGCGTCAACACAGCCTGGGGCAGCAGCACGGACTACATGGAAAAAAACGTGACCTCCAAGCGTCTGTGGGAGTCTGTCCAGGAAATGGATGCTGAAAACGAACCATCCTCCATCTCGGACATCTTGCTATTGCTCAGAGGCGGGGCAACTGCGTGGCTGGGCAGTGTGTTTTGGGGCAGAGCCTGTGGGAGCTCCAGGTTGCTGTACACCACCCTGTTAGCCCTACTTGGCAACAACGTTCCCCACCGTCCACCACAGCCTACTCCCACATCTGACACCTCGGTCCCATCTCAAGTTCTGCTGAGATCACACTGCTCCACTCTGTTCCTCCATCTTTCCCGTCTCTCCGTCCAGTATTGTTCATTGAAATGGCACTGCAGACCAGCAGTGTGTCCTGCAGTGTTAATTTTCTTTTTGCCCAAAAAGGCAAATGCTCATTACAATGAGTCATTGGTCTGGATTGAAGGTTTCTGATTTCCAAAGCACCGTAAGTACTGGACCATCACCAAGACTTGTCTTGGATATCCTGTGGCTGCCCAGAATCAGGGTGATCTTGCAGTTAGGCAGGATATCCGGGGGTTGGTGGGATGGGCAGGATATTTGCAAGTTCCAGTCCTCCACATACCTTCCGTCCCTTGATGCCCAGTGCCCCGAGGCTCACTGGGCACCACTGCGGTGCTTACAGCCTGTGGGCAGTGCCGTCTCCCTGTGTTCTCACCCATGCAAGGCTCCACTCATCCATCCTTCCTTCCACTTTTTAAAAGCATCTTCCCACAGGGCAGTGTTTGCTCGTTCTAGGGATACTGTAGGCTCTGCAGACTCCTCCTCCGCTGTTGCGTCTCCCTTCGGCTCCTCCGTGGGTGTCTCAGGCTCCTCAGAGCTGCTCCAAGGTCTCACAACACATGCTGGAGGCAGCTGGCACCTTCTGTCACAGCCAGGGTTCAGGCTTTCATCCTTGGTGGCAATGACGTGCTCCTGGATATGGCTCTGCAGTACTGGCTCCTCCGTGGACTACAGCAGCATGGTGGTGGAGAAGATGCTGGGGTGGACTGGATCTCAGCTCTGGATCTCAGCCCAGATGGCGGCGGAGTTAGCCAGCTGCTGATGGTAGTTCACCGTGCGGGCACGGCACCCTAAAGCTCTTTACATTGCATACTCTCTAGGTTTAAATGTCTCTGCAGAACTCATAAACACAAAATGCTTGTTTTTCCAAAAAATTTTAAGCAGATCTGACAAAACGACACAGCCACAGACTTTGATTTGGAGTCTTTCCAAGCCACCACTCCATCGCTCAGGGGTTATTGCTGCAAGCACATGTGAAGCTGGGGTGACATGATTAATTTTGAAAGAAAGGTGTTGGGAAAGATCTGGAAGTGACTGGTGAGAAAGCAGTGTCTGTGCTCATGTCTCGTCATGCCTTGGAAGGGGCCGTACTCTGTAGGTACCCTGTGCATCTCAGATCTTTAGAATAGAGAGGCTGATGTTCCTGCCTGGCTGGCTGGGCTGTGGGTCAGCAGGGAGCCTCATGGCCTGGCAAAGGGGGAAGAGGTCAGCAGAGTTACCCAACAAGCCTTAAGAACAAATCAATCTAGGCTGTTTGTGGTTCCAAAAGCCAGCAGGAACTCGCCGTGCGCTTCTCCTTGTGTGTGGTTGGGCAATGGTTGGGAATGAGGGCAGGGAACCTTGAATTTATCCCTGTCTGTGTGCAACTGGAAGACAAGAGCCAACAGTTCAAGGGTCTTAACCTCTCTTCTCAGCTCTTTTTGCAGCCAGGACCAGCATGACACGGGAGGGGTTGCTCAAGAAATGAGTATCATTGGCTTTTGACTGGAGGAGGCCAGAGGGCCAAAAGTCACGGTCTCTTGGTGAGTGCAAGAGCCTAATGGGCTTTGGACCTTACGGCAATCAGATGAGTTACTTGAGCAAGAGGAATGAGGACATCCGATGTTTGGGCTCTGGGAGGAGGTGGCCTCAGCGGGGAGTGTGTAGCGGACAATTGGTCAGAATGCACTAGGTGTGGATGGGGACACAGGGACAGAGAAATGCCTGGGCTCTTGGATGCTCCTTCATCCTCTAATAATTTAAGTCAAAGTTCAAGTGCGATGGACCGTCCCTTGGGGAAAGACCATTTTAAACACTGTGTTCAGGCCGGGCGTTGGTGACACACACCTTTAATCCCAGCACTCGGGAGGCAGAGGCAGGTGGATCTCTGTGAGTTCGAGGCCAGCCTGGTCTACAGAGCTAGTTCCAGAACAGCCTCCAAAACAATACAGAGAAACCCTGTCTGGAAAAACAACAACATCTCAGATGCTACCTCTTCTCAAAAAACCAAACCAAAACAAAACAAAACAAAAAACCCACTGTATTCAGTTTCAGCACTGAGGTGTTAGGAACTCCCAGAAGAGGTAGCATCTGAGCCTCGCTCTAGAATCATGGCCTCTGTGAACCCTGTGCTGGATTGTGACATAGGTTTAGAAAGTCCATCTTGTGTCAGGCTTCCTTCTAGATGGCAGAGATACTACACTGAGCAGGAAAAAAAGCGCTTGCTTACTGCAAGAAATTTGACATCCTGGAGGAGGGGCAGAACCAAACTAGACCTCTGGGCCATTTTTATGGAGCAATTCATGAGTGATTCATGGTGATTTGTAAAGTTGAGGAAAATGATGGCAGGTGCCGGAGACAGGTGGGGAGAGAGTGGGGTAAGAGGAGGCTGGCATTTGTATCGTGAGGCCAGGAGGGCTCTCTTACGAAGGGGACAGGTCTACTCTGTAGCAATCCCAGCACCAGGATCCTCCTCGTGTCCCCCAACTCAATGCTCCCCAACAATCTTGTACTGGGTGGCGTCGACTTGACACAAGCTACAGTCATCAGAGAGGAAGGAGCCTCAGCTGAGGAAATGCCTCCATGAGATCCAGCTATGAGACATTTTCTCAATCAGTGATCAGTGGGGGAGGGCCCCGCCCGTGGTGACTGGTTCCATCCCTGGGCTGGTGGTCCTGGGTTCAGAAAGAAAGCAGGCTGAGCAAGCCTGGGGAAACAAGGCCATAAACGGCACCCATCCCTGGCCTCTGCGTCAGCTCCTGCCTCCAGGTTCCTGCCCTGTTTGAGTTCCTGTCCTGACTTCCTTTGATGATGAACAGCGAGCGGTTGGGAAGTGTAAGCCAGATAAAGCCTCCCCATCCCCAACTTGCTTTTCGGCCGTGGTGTTTGAACACAGCAGTAGACGTCCCAACTAAGACCATGTGTTTCCCTTTGCTTGCTTATAGACACTCTGGGAGCAAAATCCGTCTGGTGGGTGCCATGTGGGGGTGGGGATAAAGGGAGGTGTCAGATGGACATATATCTGGTGACAGACATGGCCAGGTGATCCAGGACACTAATTATTTGGACCTTAGTCTATAGCTTTTTAAGACTTTACTTAATAGCCTCCAAGTTCAAGAGTCTTCTATTCTCTCTACACAATATTGACTTTCGGGCTGGGTCCTTGGGAAGGTGTCTCAGTGGTTAAGAGGACTTGTTATTCTTGCAGAGGACCTAGATTTGGTCCCCAGAAGGCAGTTCACAGCTGTCCCTTAACTCCAGTTCCAGGACGCACAGGCTATGCAGATATACATACATGTGAGCTTAAACACGTAATAAACAAACCTAAAAGTGGTTAGACGGAGGGGGAGGAAAAGAAGAAGGAATAGGAGAAGGGGGAAGAAGGGAGGAAGAGGAAGGAGGAGGAGGAAGGGTAAAGAAGGAGGAAGGAGATATCTTCCAGTACTCAGCTCTCCTCTGGAGTTCTGAAGTCATGGGCAACTTTGAGCTGTGTGTGCTACAGGAACATGGTTAAAATACAGCTCACGTTGCCTGCCAGAATGGAAGCTATCACCCATGTTGCAGCCCCTTGTCATGGAGGGACTCCTTGGAAACTTCCTTGTCAGGCAGCCAAGCTGTCACCCACATAGGGCCACTGGGGAAGCCCTAACCAGCTGAAGTCATCTAGAAGCATGTGTTCACTGTAGGGTTGGCGATTCCTCTTGAGGAATATACTATTAACTGTTCTGTTAATAAAAAGAGGCGATCCTGGAGACTGGGGAATTTGGGGTGCCCGTGCATGTGCACCTTAACTGTGGAGAAACTCTGTGTTCGCTACTAGTTTCCAGAAGGAATAACTGGACCCAGATGGCAAAGGTTCACCTCTTTGTTATTTGTAAGGAGCTTGGCTTCCTGAGGCAGGAGAGTGGGATTTTCAGTACTGGGGAGCTGCATAGTTTACACAGGCCTTTGACCTTGCTGGTGAAGAGGCTGACGAAAGAGAGGAAATGCCTTTTCCAGAGTGCGGTGGAAGAGGAGGACCACACAGGACACTGTGTCTTTGCCCTGAACACAAACACTGGCTTGGAGAGAGAGGAGGCAGCTTGCATCTATCTGCCTGTCACCACTTGGACCCGTCCTCTAGAAAAGGGGGCATGGACCCTGCTCCTGGACTGTAGCCCAGGGCCAGGGAGCCTGTCCCACTTTCTGCTAGTGAGAAACAGAATAAATACCTATTCATACCAGCAGAATGGAGCTGTGCCTTCTAGGGGGAGGGAAGAAGGGCCAGTGTACTAAGACAACCATGGCGACCGCCTTGTGTAAAACGATTAAAATTTGTCTTGTTTAACACATGTAAATGACTGGGTTTCAGCTCTAGAGCAGCATGCTTATTGCTGAAGAAGTTGACTCTATGAATTTCAGGCTGCCTTTATCTTTGTTCTTACTGAACTGTGGAAACAGGATTGGGTTGGGGGTGGGGCACCAATGGACATCCACACGCTAGCAACTTTGCCTCATTCTAGACCTAGGTCCAGGAGGATTCTGAGACTGTTTCTAGCACTGCGTGAGGGTGTTCCTGATTGGTTAGTCAGGTCTGCGGTGAATGTCCGAGGACCAGTTTAGGCACCCGTTACTAGCATGGTGCCTATGGTTAGACACGTTATCTCACTATAAGATTCGATGACTCTGGGACAAATGACAGCAAACTGAAGCTCTTTGGTCAGGCCCTTCTCATGCTCACACAATGTCCTAGCCTAATTTTTATGAGTTTTTTTTTGAGACACAGTCATGCTCCCTCATGCACAATTTTGGGCAGCCTTTGCATTGTGTTAGAGAAGTGAGTAGTCACGAGAAAGACTGTGGTCCACGATGACTAAAATATTTATCCCTGGCTTCTTTGCACCGAAGCTTACCAACCCTCCATTAGAGTAGTTTAGAGTCTTTTATTATTTTTTGAAATGTATTATTTCAGTCTTGTGTGTGTGTGTGTGTGTGTGTGTGTGTGTGTGTGTGTGTGTACCGTGTGCATGAGTTCAGGCTCATGCAGAGGCCAGAGGAGCATACCAGATCCTTTGGGACTGGAATAGGTAGTAGTGAGTTACCCGGTGTGGGTTCTGGAACGATAACTCCAGTCTTGGGGACAGCAGGGTACACCCTGAACTCTGGAGCCCTCTCTTTTGGGAGAGCTTTGGAGCGTGCATTCCGCTGATATCCCCTTGAAGAAGGATGAAAGGTTCTATTAGCCTCACCTTGAGAATAATGAATGTTAAGTCCCTGTGAGATGTGCTCAGATCAAAGTCACAGCATGAGTTTTAATTACACGGGGCTCCCCAAGACACTGATGCATAAGTCTTTTAGAAGCCCAGTACTCAGGGGCCAGAGGCAGGAGGATTACCGTGAGTTTGAGTCCAGCTAGGGCTGCAAAATGAGACCCTGTCTCAACAAAAAGACAAAACAAAAAACAAAAACAAAAACACAAACTCAAGTGGAGGATTCAAGTTCACTTCAGAAGAATTTATTTTGGTTTGTTTTGGGACAAGAAGTTCCTGTTGAATATTAAAAAAAGAGAAACGTGAAGTTAAGGGAATTGGTTTATGAGGAAGAAAGAGCGCGGAAGTCCACCCTTGTTGGTGAAGCTCGGGTCCTTTGGCAAGTCTTCAACAGTTTGGAGCTCCTGAGAGGCCGGCACCAAAGAGAAGCTGAGAGCCCTTGTCCACCATGAGAGATGCTTATGCAGGAGCAAGGTGGAGGAAACAGGAACGGGCTCGCATGGAACACAGAGCAGGTGAGAGTCCGAGGAACCCGGAAGGAGGAAGGAGAGGCCTTGCAGAAGCCGCCCCAGACTGCAGCAGTGCGCGCATCAGAGTGGCAGGCAAGGGCTGACTCCATCCCTGTGTTCAGCCACTGAACAGAATCGGCTTGAGCTGTGGTGGGCCCAAAGGGACAGTGCCAAGAGGCTGTCAGTCCGTCAGCTGTGCTCCTGCAGCAGGCGGCCTGAGGAGGGGGTCAGAGAGGGGCCTCTTGTGGACTGCTGTGGCACCCATCGTTTCCTGTGCATCCTAGAGCAGGCTCTGAGCTGGGGCTGGAGACTGCAGAGACCCGGGGGCCATCGTCCTCTCTCCAGGGAGCGTGCACTCTATTTGAGAGTACCAAAGATGCACACCAGAGCGAGCAGGAAAAGAGGTGTTGCTTGATGGCGGAGGTGACAATAAAGCCGGGTGGGTGATGGTACGGTCAGGTGGCAGGAACAGGGCTTTCTAGGCGTTCAAAGAAGGACCCCAAGAGGAAGGCTTGAGGTGTCCCCATTTGACACTGCGGGGGCATGCGTGTGTGGGGTGCTCGGCATCACGTTAGGCTTTCCTGTGCCCGAGAGTTGCCTCCAGCCCCTTCTGCTCTAAGTGAGGGTCTCTCGAGTACGGTAGTGGCTTCTTGTTTCGACAGTAGACTTGGGGTGGTAGCCGCATCCTAGGAGCGTGGCTTCGGGTGTGTGGACCTGACGCCTTATGAGGGAGGGGAGGAGCTGGCTCGCTCTCGTGGGGTTGTGGTCCGAGCATCTGAAAGGGCAGAGACTGCGCCTTCAGGAGCAGGAAGCCTGCGGTGGCTGTTCATCGTTGTTGTGTGAGTGCTCCCCTAATAAATACCCGTCAATCATTTACCTAAGAGACGCCAAGAGCTCTGATGTCTTTAGTTTAGAGCATGGCCCTTTCCTAAGGCCTGACACTGAGACGTGCAGTAGCCCAGCTGGCAGGAATCTAGACGAGGCCTCTCTGAACGAAGTACCATCCTGCATGCTATGTTAAGTGATTTTTATTAGCCAGCATCTGACTATAAACGAGCTATGAAGGAGCCGTGGTTACTAATGAGTCACTAAGAGCAGTCTACAGAAACGTGTGTGGCCTCCGTGGGACTACTCCTTCATCCCTTCTGACTGTAACCCAAACTGAGTTTAGGAGGCCTTGTGCATACTGTAACCACAGCTCTCCTTTTAACTTTTCTGACTTATGAGGTAGCACTCCATCAGTTGCCCATGCTGGCCCTGGACTCATTCTGTAGCCCAGGATAGCTTCAAACTTGCAACCTCCAGAGAAGCTGAGGTTACAGGCCTGTGCCAAGAGGCTTGGCTTCCTGTTGGACCCTTAATAACTAGAATGTAGCTAGGCACGAACAGTGAGTAAGCCATTCGTTAGAAACCATGTGCTTACCAAGTCCTCTAACACATGATGCAGAGGTAAGTAGGGATAAAGGCTTTTATTCTAAAAAATTATGAACTGATAGAAAATATGCATATAGAAAAATGAAAAACATATGGAATAATAAATCATGTTGGGCCTCAAGTATACCCATCATTCACAATGACAACAAACGTTTCCTATGGCAGATTTTCTTCCATTTTGGCCTCATGCATATCTCCCCGTTATTATCTTGGTGATAATTCCCAGATGCTCTCTTATTTCCCTGGTGAATATTATGGTATGCATCTGTGAAAGGAAAGATGCTCTTTTTTTTTTAAAAATACACCCATGATTGTTCTGTGATGTGTTGTACACTCTTGAACCTCTTGCTGTCATCTATAATATAGAGGTTTTTGTTGTAGTTTGTATAAAGTTCCTAGCCTAGCCCAAGGTCACCAATGAGTTTCATTTCCTACTATGGGTGTAGCATTATGAGGAACTGTGACCCAGAAGAGCCACGGATCAGTGCTCTGACAGGATGTCAAGATGATTCTCAGGCAGGCAGGACCTGGATCACAGTCTGAGATGCTCTCTTCTGGGACAGAAAATGATTTGCTGGAACCATCTTTTTAGAAGCAAAGTTGATCTGTGCTATTCCTCCATGTTCTTTACGGAGAATCCATGATACACTTTAATGCTTTATCTTAATATCCATGGCCCTTCGGGGCCTAGAACCCATGGCTCCCTAACGTTAGTGTGTTTTAGAATATGTGCATGGTCCTGTTAAAATTTCTTGGCCAGGCTTCTGGCCAAGATTTCTGTGATCTCAGCTCTCAGGACTTAGAGTCAGAGGGGCGTGGGCCTCAAGAGCAGCTCAGGCATGTAACTGTGTCCACAGGGATAAGGATATTCTAAAGAGATGCTTGGGCAACCTCTCTCTGTCCCTCAGACCACTGAAACAGTAGACCCTCCTCCCCAGTGGAAGTCCCCAAACTCTCATGTTGGGAGAAGAAAGTTGGAGCTTCTGCCAGCTGGGGTGGAGCTTGTCCAGCAGGAGACTTCACATGGTTCTGACAACTTGAGAACTCCTTGCAGGAGAGACGCTGAGGGTGGTGGGACCACACACGGAGCAGCTCAGCTTTGCAAACATCCATTTAAACCTAAACCCCAAGTCAGGACCCAGAAGATGAATTTCACGAGGAGGCATCATGGAACCGGCTGTTTCCTTTTCCCAATGTGGCCATATTGAATCACTTTCTCCTCTATTCTGCTTTTCCCTACTATGTGATTCTTTAGTGGTCTATGGGGGATGGAGGCCAAGCCTATTAGACCCAGGTCTGACCTCGCCAGCAGCTTCATGGCAAGTTCAAGAGCAGCTTGGGCTAATTAGATCCTGTTTCAAAAATAATGCATGTTTCTGAGTAGGGGTTGAGAGCTGATCCTATAAACCCACTTATTGATGCAGGGGTCATCTGACCACACTTTGGTAGACAGAGGGAGGGAGGGTCAGAATCACACACAATCAGAAGGACTGGCTCTTGGGGTTCATGGAGAACTCCCAGTCATTTTCAGGAGTGGACCATATGTTGGCAAAATGCACATTTTGTCCATAAAAGAGAGTGAGTGTTCAGGGACAATCAGCAACCCGGGGTGAGTGTAACCTTGCAAATCTGTGTGGGCTTTTGGACTTTGGAAAGCATTGTCTCTGAATAGTTGCCAGGAGTAAAATAAATGAAGACTTCAGATCAGTTGACATGCCCAGCGTCTCTTGACTTTAGAGATTACACACCCACACCTTCCCCTTGCAATAGTAAGCAGGAGGCAGTAGAAGTCTGTAGTCAAGTCATCCTCCATTGTCCTTGGGACCCCACTATTCCACACTTGACACAGCAGAACCGTTTTTATTGTACACTATTTATTTATATTTACCATATTTATACTACATTAGCTGCCTAGTACTCAGATGCTTCTGACATTGTGGTGTATTGTGTAATGTACACATTTACTGTGTATTAATGTGTGTGTACCCATCCTGGGTCAGTGACAATTTAGCCCACATCAAAGGGCTGGTTGATCTCTGTGAGTTCAAGGCCAGCCTGGGCTACAGAGAGAGTTCCAGGACATCCAGAGCTACATAGTGAGACCCTGTCTTGGGAAAACAAACAGAACTAACATA